GTCTTCCTGTACATAATCAAGCTAAACGTAGCATCAGAGCGCTCATTAAAATCAGCAGCTGATAAATTGTCTTCCAGTTTGATCCAAATTCAACATTTAAGATGCTCATTTGTTCTAATGTGTAGGAAACATTCAGCTCCAGGTAGCAGCAGGTCACACACGTGTGAACCTTTTTACTTTGAATCGTGTTCAGAGTAAAATAGTCCAAATAGCCTGATTAAAGGAAGAAACTGGTTTTTAAATGATAATAAGTTAAACTGGAACACTTCCCAGGAGCTTGTACATATTAATGTCATCTGTGCTGTGGGTCAGTGTCACGTAAAGGAAATGAAACTGACCAGAATGAACAGTGATGAAGAAGAAAGCAGGAGAGACCAAAGAGAAGATCGACCCATGATGGACAAAGAGTGATTCAGCGTTCAAACCCTGAAACAAATCAAGCTCCAAAGAGTTCAAGAGGAATCAGAGTTTCAGAGTCCGACTGAATCTAAAAGGATTCAGGAGGTGAGGTGAGAGAAAGGTGAGCAGAACGCAACATGATCATTCAGGCACCGTTAGTGAGGAAGAGGAGCAGAAAGTACAATGAGACTGGACAGATTTACTACAGCTAGCAGATACAGGGGATTCATGGAGTCCAGCACACTGAGGGAAAGGAAAGGAAATAAGGAAGGAAAGGAAGTCTTAAAAAGTATGCTGGCTGACTGTCTGTCCAACCAATCAGAGAGCTCCTTACATCGCTCCATGGCTAATTTGCTCATCGACCTGAGTGAAGTTTCCCCTCCCCACCTTCTTCCAACCCAACAAAATCGGTGTGTCAAATGTTTGTGCTGCTATCATTTTAAAGATATTAATAAAAGCTTTTAGAGCTCACCCAACCTGCCCCTTCTGTGTAAAGGCTGTGAAACAGAAACTGTCGAGCCTCTCAAGATTAATACAGTAACTCCAACAATAATAGCTCATTCATAACAAACCAGCACAAATGTAGAACAGCTGCTGGATTTCATTATATGTGTGTGTGTGTGTG